TCCTCTTGAGCTCCTGAAAGCTCGACTCACATCTGTCAGTCCACTCGAACTTCACATACTTCCTGGTCAGCTGGGATAGAGGGAGGGCAATCTTGGAAAAGCCCTCGATGAACCTGCGATAGTATCCAGCTAGACCGAGAAAACTGCGAACCTCGGACAGACTCCTCGGTGCTGACAAATTCTAAACGGCTGAAACTTTAGAAGGATCCACCTCGATACCTGCCTGAGTAATCACATGACCCAGAAAGGATACTCGCTGGAGCCAGAACTCACATTTGGAGAATTTTGCAAACAACTTTTCTCGTCTGAGGGTTTCAAGAACCACCCTCAGATGCTCCTCGTGCTCCTTCTGGCTCTTCGAGTAGACAAGAATATCGTCAATAAAGACAATAACAAACTGATCGAGGTAGGGATGAAAGATACGGTTCATGAGATCCATGAAAACTGCTGGCGCATTGCTGAGACCGAATGGCATGACTACGAACTCGTAATGGCCATAACGAGTCCTGAAAGCGGTCTTAGCGATATCTGACTCCTTGATCTTCAGCTGGTGATAGCCTAATCGAAGATCAATCTTCGAGAACAGACAGGCTCCCCTCAGCTGATCAAATAAGTCGTCGATCCTGGGAAGCGGGTACTTGTTCTTGATCGTCAACCGGTTAAGATCCCGGTAGTCGATACACATGCGCATGGATCCGTCCTTCTTCTTAACAAAGAGAACGGGTGCTCCCCAAGGTGACACACTCGGTCGGAGGAAACCGAGTCGTAATAGCTCCTGAATCTGCGCCTTAAGCTCCTGCAACTCCTTAGGAGCCATACGGTATGGGGCTTTGGATACTGGACCGGCCCCTGGAATAAGGTCGATAGAAAACTCCACCTGACGGTTGGGCGGTCCTCCTGGAAGCTCATCTGGGAATACGTCCACAAACTCTCAAACGACTGGAACATCGTGAGGTGAACGCGCTCTCTGCGAATCATCAACAAGGCTCACCAGATAACCCTGGTAGTTGCCTCGTCGCAGCAACTTAGTGGCTTTCGCCATCGACACAACATGAGGCAAAGAACGGTTTCTGGAGCTGAAGAAGGTAATCGGCTCGTCTCTTGGAAGATAAAGAGTAATCTCCCGGTCAAGACATTTGATATCTGCATGATAAGAGGATAGCCAATCCATTCCGAGAATCAGGTCGAAGTCCTTCATCTC